AGGCTTCTTTCATTTCCATACACAAACATCCTCCCTCAAGTTTGCAGTAGGTACAATCCTAATGAAAAGGCCACTAAAGCTGCACCAACATCACAGGTAAAGACTGCATTACAGCGCAGAGCACCCAGCAGGAGACACGGCTGATCGCTTGGCTTGGCATTTGTGACTTTCTCTGCAGACAGCATGTGCGGTCCACAGCCTGTGTGGCAAACTACTGGGAAATAACCAATTAACTAAGAGAGGGCAAGAGAGTTGAACTTCAGCTAGTGCGACTGGGGGAACAGAAATTATTTCCTAATTTCTTCCCTATTCCCTGGGACAACATTTTACATTGTGACAAGCAGCACTAACAAAGTGTTTGGGACCTATGGACTTCAAGTTGCTTTAAACAAACAAATGAACCAACCACACAAAAGACATCAAGTATTGTTATTCCTTCTACAGAGGGTAGGACATGAGCGCACAGTTTGGGACAGCCACAAAAGTCAATTAAAACAAAACAGAAGTCTTTGAAGTCCAAGCCCATGCCACAAGGTTCAAAATAGTTTATCTAAAATACAAGCATGCCCATATCACACAGACACATCTTTCTCAGAGGGAAGAAAACAAATTGATCAAACCTGTGGGGAAGGAAGGAATGCCAGGAGCAATGCCACGGTATGCCAAGCTGTAGATGGTGATACAAGGACAAGACAATAAATCTGATTTATTCTGAAATGCTTGTATTTTATGAGAAAAAGACAGAAAGAAAAAGGCATTCAGTCTCCTGGGCTACTGAAGTAGAAGACCAGAGTATTAATACCTCACCACACTCTTTTTCAATGTTTTTGTTAATACCAGCTTTTCTCACCTGAGTTCAAAAGCAAGGGAAGGAGTATCAAAATGCTACACAGTGCTGCTCTGTTCCCCAAGTAAATTAACTCCTTGTATCAGTGTCCCACACAGACATTGTCCCCTGAGTATTATAACTGAGCTCAGCACCTCCAGGCTGAGTGACCCATTCTCCACGATTAAAGCAGCTAGATTCTCCCACCGAGGCACTCTGACTTCTTGTCTTCTGACAATATGGTAACAGCATGGCTTGCACGTATTTTGCTTTCATCAATGATCTACCATATATCCATGTGGCAAAAGGCTCAAAACTCAAGCAGACTAAAGCAAAACAAAAATAACAGAGACAAGAAACATTCAGATTTCTCAGTCAGAATTTATCCTGAAGGATAAATAGGAACAAATATAATAGGAATTCATCTTTTTTTTTTTTTTTTTTGATTTTCAAGACAGGACTTTGTGTCTGCTTTACAATGACTAATAATTGCACAGCTATGCAATTACCAGTGGTTCTCTGAATTGCACTACTGATAGGAAGCATTAACCTTCCCTCAAGAACAGGACTCTTGTCTTCAGTACGAGAAAGGCAATTAAGGGGGTTTGTAGAGCTTGAGAAAAATCTAAAGGTATTTCTTGTTTTCTGTATTAACTATTCCTAATGCTCCTTCAATTTTTGCTAATTATTTTCTTTTGTTTTGTGCCAAAGGCAAGGTCTTGGTCTATATAAAACTTGGGGTTTTTTTTCTTCAAAGTACCAAACCTAATTCTTTCTTCTTGTTAACCCATCTCACATAGACATAACATCCGCAGTTCCTCTGGTGTCACTGTTAAATTCACTCTTTTGAAAGCATGCAAAGAACCAAGTCTAGTCACTTCAGATGAAGAAATACCAGTCTGTGCGTCCAATACATGACAGTAAATGGATTCCTAAATGAGAAAAAAACTGCCCTTGCGCCACTTGCCCTCAAAAAGTACAAAGGAAAAAAGGCTAGGGGACAAGAGAAGAAAACTGGGAAGAGCACATGAGAATATAGTTCTATGCTACACCTAAATACTGTGATTGTCAGATCCTTCCGGGCAGACCCATTGGGGAAGAACAGAGCCAGGAAACCCGTGGCATGCATACCTCCAGGCAGAACACATCTCAGGAAGGGTACGATGCTGCTGTGCTTCACTGGGGAGGTCACAGGAGCGAGAGCAACCGAGAACAGTAAGCCGCAGTAAGCCGCTATGCTGCCCTAGCCTGGAAAAGGAGGAGATGGCAAGGTAGAAGAATTATGAACCAAGAATTCATAGAGGTAATGCCACAGAGTCAGAGACCAGCAACGTGTTTAACATCTTTTGTACCCATATAGCCGGAACCCAGGTTTCAGACAACGGCTTCCTCTTCTGTACTACTGCCAGACAGGCTTGAACAATGGACACGCACCTTCTATTTCCTGATGAAGATCTTCCCTTTCCAACAAAAGTTACAAAAACATTATTACCGCCCCTGCAAAGGCTATCTAGGTGTATCACTGGCAACACAGCTGGACTCCCAGCGTGCACGCCCAAGCACACAGGCAGAGCAGGACCACCATTTCAGAGCCCAGCAGGAAGACTTATGGTCACAGATGCTCATGTTAACCAAAGGTCAGAGCAAGGTATTTTTGGACATCAACTTTTATTCTAAATATTTAGCACAGTGCCAATAAATAATGCAATGAGCATTCATTTGCTTCCATATAATGCTATAAAGAAGATGTTTTTACTTACATGCCAACAGAAGAAAGTTTATATCCAGATTGCAAGCACACAGGGAACCTGAGCCTACCTCAGGAGTCAGGTAGGCTACTACTATCCCACCTTTAGGGTTCAAGAAAGCCTCATATAACTGTCAAGAATTAAAGTGGGATTTATATAAATTTTGTAAAAACTAAAATATAACTCCATTACATTAAGTCCATTGAAAGTATTTTTTTATTTTTTAAAATCAGATTTATTTGCATCACAAAGCAGTTCACATCATTGTTAAAAGATACTGGCAGCTTACAATAGACTAAAAACATACAGCAAACAAAGGTAAAACTAGAGTTCTCGTAAAAATCACACTAGGGGAAACACAAAGGGCCAACATCATGCAGTAAAGCAAAACGTTAAATACCCTAACAAACAAATCAAATATAAATAATTTATGATAGCATTCCAAACATATGAAAGGAATATTTCTAAAGGATGTCAGTTTATCAGCATAACTACTGCATTCAATAGGGCTCGCACAGCTGATACCACCTGTAGTTCTCCCTCCATCTTTTTATTTTTCTGAACACACCCACTTGATATCCTTGTATTAAATTAATAAGCAGATAAAAACTTTACAGGTATTTTAAGTCATCCTGTTAAGCAAGATGGAATAGCCATCAGGTGACTAGCCACATCTGCTCCCAGCATAGTTAAACTGATATAGTCAGCTAATAGCAGCTTCCACCATAACTGAACATCAACAGACTGCTGTAACGAAAAATTACAAAGGATATTTTCCCTTCATTGCTCTCTGTGGACCTCCTCAGAGAGCTTATCAAAGATAGAACGAGCATATTCCACCAATAATGTAATACAGCTGTGCCTTCCACTTAACCTGAATTTGTCCAGAAGTCCTTCCACCATGTAGTTCCATAGCTTCACAGGAAGCTCATGCTCCAGATTATTTTGTGGGCTTTTGCCTAAACTTTACAGTGAAGAAACTGTTTAAAAATGTTTACTGTATTCATTTGGGATTAAAGGTAGAGAGATTTTTTTTTTTCCCCAGCTACAGAATAAAATTATTTTCTTTAAAAAAATCAAAGTTCTACACTAACATCATCAAAAAAGCAGGGTTACAGGCATCAAATGCATGCATGGGAAATGCATCTCTAAAGATTTTTTCCATTAATAAAACAGAAACAAAATATCTTTCTTACTTTCTAGTTATTTTCTGGACCACTGAGTCAAAGAAGGGTTATATTTGTGTTACCTATTTTACTGTCATACTGATCTCGTTTCTGAACACTAAGACTGTGCACAGAACAGTCTGCAAAGCTAAGCGGAGCCTGTCATCACAATTTCTTGTGTAAGCAGCCATTTGGGCAGTAAACTACTATTTACAAGTCAATGTGTTCAGTTTGCAGCATGTGGATTACACAGTACCTTTTTAATTACATGTATAGATTAATTAGCAGAGCTGTCAGTTCTTGCACAGTGCCAAAGGCCCTTGGCCTGTAACATCTGTCTTTTCAAACACTTCTACCTGTTTAAACAACACGCAATTTGTTAAAACGGGAACTGGATTAAAAATATCCTTTTCCCACCTATTTGATGGAGTCACATCACTAATGACTAGACAATGCTGCTCTGCTCCTCGGTGGTGCACCACTGCTGCCACTGCCTAGGTCCTCTCAGAGCCCTTCAGTTGTTTTACACAGGCACATACTTCATCTCATTTCTTCAGTATTTTTATGCTCTCCAGTACTACATTCAAGGACATGCTTGGTACATGGTATACAGTGGCTTATTTTCCCTCTATTTCCTTCTAAAATAGATTAACAGTGTCAGAAGCCTGCAAGTAACTCATATCTGCCCGAAGCACATGCATGTAAAGCCAAAGTCTCAATTCAGGTAAATCAGCAGTAAATTCATCAGGGTAGGATCACCTACTTTGGAATCTGTTCACCAATCATGAACTAACACACTCTCACCAAATTTTGCTTTCAGTGACATTTGTGCTTTGGAAGTGTTTTACAATGTGGTCCATCAGAACTGCTCTTTTGATGGTCACACCGTGAAAATGGGAAGATCTAGAAAAAGGAGAAAAATGAAACAGGGTAAACTTCACAAAGGCCACCAACAAAGGCAGGCTGTAAACTTGTTGAAGCGGACTCAGCTGTCAACATGTGCCAGTTCATGCCTCCCTACCTCCTCCCAACCCTGAGCAGCAAAGCAGCAGTAAGGAAAACAAATTCATCAACACGAAAAATACAATAGAGGGGGAATAATAACACATCCAGAAGAAAAACAATTTTCAGAAGTGACTACTGATTTAGATTGACCTGTTCCTTGGCATTCAGCTAGGGGTATTTTAAATGGCCAAAATTTCAGAAAGTGCTGGACACTCAACTATAAAAATGGCACCAAAAAGACCTTGAATTAAGCATCTAGCAATAGCAAAAGGATGAATTTAATTGTTTTTTTTTTTCCATACGTACCACTACTATTAACACTCTGCTTGATCCAGTCAACAAAAACACCAACATTTGTGTATACTCCTGGGTAGTTCTTCCTTCCACATCCCAAGCCCCAGCTAGTGATTCCATGAAGGGTGTAAAATCCCGAGTCATCTTCTGAAGCACAAACTAATGGGCCACCAGAATCACCCTGCAGAAGGACAAAAGAATCTTGTTATGAGCTAAGATCACTCCTTATCTTTTCAAAATATCAGTTCAGCTACAACAGGTCCCAGCTGCTCATGTGTTTGGGGGTCTCTATTCTAAAAGGCAGAGAAAGAAATAACCTTTGTTCAAGGGAAGTACCTTTTTTGGCAACATGAGTAATTACAATCCTACTATTAAGGAGTCTTTCCCTGTAAATCACCTACAGCCTGTTTGCAGGAAAACAGCTGTTAGTGAGGTTTTAACACTCCCCTTTTCAGAACCCATCTGGCCATACCCCAAGTGTCGGAAGGTAAAGGTGATGTGCACAACTTACTGTGCATGAGTCCTTGCCTTCCTCCAGAGGGAATCCAGCACAGATCATACTCTGGGTCACTTTACTGGGAAGATTTATGTAGTAGCTCTGACATGTGTCAAGCACCAGGATGGGGACTTCCAGTTGATAAAGTTTTTTCCCCTTTTCTCTGTCTTGAAGTAAAAGACATCTCAGAAACCAGTAAAGGCATGAATTAGCGATTCCAGAAAGAAGATTTACTCTTCCCCTTTTCAAATGGTGTCAATCTAAACGATCCGATTTCTTTCCTCCCACCCACTCCCCAGCATGTTTAGCTGAGCTTACACAAGTGAAAACCTTTTAACACATCTGTTCTCCAGAAACTAACGCACAGACAGAAAATGATCGTTACAACACAGAACATCATATTTAAAACACAGCGCAGGATGCTAAACCTCCGAAATAGCCAAGGCTGCATACCTTCTTCATGTGCACCCCATCCTGTGACAACACACACCCTCGAGGGCTGAACCTCCTCCTCCTTGGCAGGGAGGCACACTGGGCGCACATAGTGGTTGAATTTTAAGGGCTCGGCCAGTTGCAGCAAGGCAATATCAGAGTCCATAGTGGTCTTGTTAAAACTCGGATGTATGATATACTGCTTTACTGACCTTTTCTAGGAAAGCAAGGACATTGACATTTTCTGAATTACTTGGGAATTTGAGTCTTTAAGTAACTTTGGTTTTATAAATTTTCAGGCCATAAGCAAGATGCCTTAAGAGGAAGGCACATGTAAAAACAGCTGCTGAAGCCACCAGCTTTCTTATATTAAGCAGAAAAGATTATGCCTCTTGGACATGGATCAGGGAACATGCAGGAAACTCCCACCCAGGAACTGCAGGAAGAGGGTCACAGAAAAACATCTGTCCAGTCTGAGCAAAGTGGAAAGTCGTGCCCCAATTACTTCTGTCTTGGTAACAGTCACCAGGGAATTTACAGACAATACACTCCTCACTCTCACATCTTCCAGGATACTGAGCTTTGGAGTTCATTACTGACAAAGGCACAGATCTGTGTGGATACAATTCCTCTGACAGTCACACAAATGTTTTCGTGTAAATGCAGATCAAGGTCAGCATGCAGGCTGTTGGATTGCTACATCATGAACAACTTGGGAGGTGCACATAGATTAAAAACTATTTTGCAAGACTGATTTCTATTTTATTATTAAGCAGAACTTAATCATACCTGTCTGTATTCTTGCTCTGTAAGATCATGAAGTCCTGTCACCACCATCCATAAGTCTCTGTATTGTTCCCTAAAAAAAAAAACAAACCAAAACAAAAAAAAACCAAACAACCAATAACAACAACACAACTACAAAAAAACCCAAACAACAACAACAAAACGAAATATAAGTACATTGTCAGGCTGGTATAACAACATTCCTGAAACCTGTGAATCTTAAAATCTCCCCCACCTAAAACAGATACCAGGGCCCTACTACAAATTCCAACGTACTACAACAACTCCTGAGGCCCATACTCCCATACAATCTATGGAAATCTTCCCACTGACTTCTAGGGAGCATGACATATTCCCGTGATGAGGCAGTAGGATCACTCAAACACATAGCGAATGGAGAGAAAGGTCCCTTTTATAAGGACTGAGGGTGCCTGATGCAGAATACAAAGCCTGCATGGTCCACACCACTCAGTGACAGGGCTGGTCCCTACCTTCTCGATGTAAAAATGGGTGACCTCTAAAACATTACTACCTATCAAATGATATAAAGAAATGCAAGAGAAACATTTCATTTCACCCTTCAGTTTCTTAACCAAACCCTCTCACTGCCTGAAAACGTGTCTTAACTCCCTCATGAAATCAGTTGTGTAGAATCATTAAGCCAAATATACAAATTCTGATGTGATGGCAACGTGCAACAAAGAATCCCTCCTCAAAACAGCTCTTAAAGCAGTACCTTCACCACAGCGCAACAATGCTCCTGACAAAATTTTGCAAACTAGTATTTATAAACTTAGAAGCCAAAGTCCAAAATGCAAACCAGCACTTGCATTTCAGATGCCCAGTTTTGTAGGGGTGGGGAAGAGAATCAAAGAAATGGAGAATATAGATGCTGAGGCATCTTTGGCATTCAGGGCTTTTGAAAGCTTACCCTCATTTTCAAGTAATTGCAACTTTATTTGAAAAAAGGCCAGAATACCTAATTATCATCAATCCTGGGAGGATTTAAAAAAATATTTTAATGACCCAATGTATGTGAATTTTAAATTAATATACTTGTGATTAATTTGAACTTCAAAACAGGTAGTGTTCAGCCTAAGAGATGAATAAACAAATTGCAGTTTAGAAAGTATTTTAAAGAGTCTGAAAGTCACACAGACTATCCTTTTTTCTCCTCTCAATAAAGACAGAAAAATTTCCACATAATCTGATTTAACAGACTGATAGGTTCTTAATAATGGAATGGCATCAATCCTGTGCACAAAAGCCTTCTGTATGTCTTCCAAAATCTACACAAATTCAGCAATTTTTAAATTTTTGGATAGGTTGATTCTACCCAGATGAAAACATGGTCTGTAAATGACCCAAACACAAAAAGGTTACCCAGAAGTAAGTGATGGATGACAAGGGACTTCGTATCTTGTCACCTCTTCTGAAAACTGATCTGAGAGAAAACCAAGCCTACTGAATTAGGCTACAGTAGCCATTATGATCCTAGTACATAGGCGTGGAGCAAAAGGATCCAGTGCCAATGTGACCTGTAAGTATGTGGTAACCAAAACTGTGCCAGCCAACCTGGGCAGAACCACCATGCTGCAATTACAGACGTTCCCAGGGAAGGGTTCATCCCAGTGTACTTACTTAGAATTAAAGCAGTGAGCAGCTGTGACAACCCATTCTTTGGCAAGAACTGCTCCTCCACAGATATGCTCATCTGAAATTTGTACACTGACCTGCCAAGGCCATGAGTATGGTACAGCTTCTTCACCTCCAATTATCCTACTGAAGATGAACCTGGGCTGATTTGAAGGCAGTCCACAAATATCACCTGAAACAGAAAGCACTGATGTTTCAAGAAGTCTTTAGAGGTCAAGATTTGAAGAACTGAAGAACAGTCCATTTAAGAGCTACCCCGCAGCTTCTCAAGCTTCCCCCCTCCCCTTTTTGCTGAATCTTTCAACCTTCCTCATTACAAAGGGTCCAAAATTTTAAGAGAGCATAAGGAGATGATCTTAGCAAAAACAGAGCTTCACCAAGATCAAGGCAGCTGATTACCTTCAAAAGTTTTAGCCTCAAACCTACAATGAATATGAACTCATCCTGTTCTCTATAAAGTACTGGAGGGAAAAAGGGAAGTTCTAAAACACTGGTTACTATTTTCAACTACCCTGTACTCTTTGCAATTATTTTCACCAAAGCAAGTAGGTGTAAACTTACATACAAGCTGAAATAATGTCATTGCATTGCTCTCACTTAACAAGATGAAGGAAACAAGAAAAATCAGTTTCTGCTATTCTAAAGCCAAAGCACAGAAGTGTTATTATTCATCTTTTTCTTTCCTCGAAATATCGTAATGAAAAAATCTGGGACAACTGCATCCACTAAATATTTGGAGAAAACATCATTTAAATTATAGTCAAAAAGGTACTCCCTATTCCCATGAAGAAAATGTAACTTGAGTTGGCTTACCTGTTGTCACTTGTGTTTCTTCTTCAGTCATATCTGTATCTTCAAATTCTTCACTAGTTGAATCCAAAGTATCTAAATCTAGCAAATGAAAACAGCAAATGTGTTAGCAGGCTGTCTTGAGTGACATTTTTATTACAAAATCACTTTTATTTCCTTTATTATAATTTTTGTAAAAGGAATAGATTTCTACAGTAGGGATCCATGCTATTACATCTCCAGATGGTAATAAAGTGCTATTTAAAATGCACCAAAATACTTTTACACAAAATAAAAGTGGTGTATTGGGTAGATTCGGTGTTTCTTTTCACCCACTTAATAGGCCCTTTGTTTAATGCCTCATTGGGTTCACAATACAGTTTTTTCACTGAAACAATTTGTTAGATGACAATCTCCTAGAGCAAAATAATTCTGAATAGCCAGAATTGCTGAAAAGCCCTTCGTGCTGCCCCATAGAGGCAGTTTCCCAAGTTACTTCTATTACCTTGTACATGAACAAAAGAGATTGTAGCTCTGAATCCTCCAAAGGTCTCTGTTTCATCAGAGTGAAAGACAACCAGCATCATAGCAGAGGAGCTTAGAACAGGTGCAGGTAGAGCAAATCCACAAGACTTAGCTAAACATGAGAAAGCAAATGTTCACTGCAGATTAACATGTACTTTTTCATCCTTATCTCTCTTAACAGTGGGTACCAAATATTCTGTGTATTCCAGCTCTCACACAGGAGGGTAAAAAATAACTATGCACAAGAGAGTAGAGAAGTGGAGTGAGGCTGAAGGACTGTTCTATTATTTCCGACAGTCTGCCCTTGTTCAGTAATTATAAGAACACGGAGACTTTTGCATTATTTCACAAGAGTCTATTACAGTACTCATGCTCATATGTCGCCATTACATATAAAACACACTGGAAACTGGATTTCCCCTTGTTAGTGTTTCAGCACTAGCATCTGCTAGAGCTAATTTAAGCACTAGTGCTAATCTATGCACCAGCATCAAGCAAGTGCTGAAATCAGTTTACTGGGACAGGTCTTCCTCTCATTCAATGTAAGCCAGGGGACTCTCCAGCAAGGTGGCAAGAATTATATGAATGCTCACCTGGAGTGAACAACAACTGGACTCTGAAAATGAACTCTTGGGTGATTTCTGTGTCTGATCCTTACTAAAAAAACAAACTATTGTGTTATGCCCTTTTCTTCATTTAAATGGATTCAGAACTGCATTTCATACAGAATTTAAATACAGAAAACTGTTCTGTTCAATGTGGTTTTGCCTCTAAGTGGAACAGAAGCAGCAATACCTGCAAGTATTTTTCACAGTACTGAAACTAGTACCTATAACATCACCTGAGACTCTCCAGAGGCGAACTTGATTTTAGACTGTAGAACAGAGCTAGTGAAAGGCATAAAGAAATAGGTCATCCCCAAAATATGTCAAAAATTAAAAGTCGAACCAATTTCCTCCTCTTTTCCCATATCTTCATACACAGTCACGGCATCATAAGAGCAATCTTCACTCTCTTCTACTTCAAAAGACTGGTATGTAAGCTTTAAATAAAAAATGATAAAGTGAACTTTGTTGAATTCATACAGAAAAAAAAAAATCAAAGATCTAGAGTAGGTCTTTAGTATTCTCAGTGGTTCCTTTGGGGTTTGATTTCTATGACATTCAGACCTCTCACAGGTGGTAACATAGCATATTACATTTGCTAGAATCACAGAATGTTAGAGGTTGGAAGGGACTTCGAAAGATCATCTAGTCCAACCCCCCTGCCAGAGCAGGACCACCTACAGTAGATCACCCAAATCTGTCATGGTAAAATTTAAACCAGGAAATCCTATTTTACTATACCCTAAAGGAGAAATCAAAACCTATCTGGCTTTTAGGATGGAAAGTGACTTCTTTTAACTGCATCCAGCAGCATTATTCAAGATTACATTGCTTGATCTTGCTTGTCCTTAGCTGCACAATTTCTTGTTAACTCAATGGTGCCCATTTCCATTCTGTAGACACAAGGGCTCATATTATACCTTGATTACATGGTCCTCTGGCGCACAAATAATCCATTGACAGTCTGCTGTGTTGCTGTAGTGCTCTGGATAGTGCATACTTTGTAACACTCCTTCTTCAAAAAGGACAGCTAAGGACTCACAGCCAGAATCTGGAAATCCAGGAAAACAAAAATTAAGGCATTGTGATTTACTATTAAATCAATAACAAAAAGAATCCAGAAAAACTCTTCTGGTGCTTTCACACAGCTGAGAAAGTGAACAGGGCAAGAGCAGCAAGCCAAATCCTTCTGTCTGAAAAAGACGCAAAGGAAATTTTCAATCTGTTCCCAGGCAGAAGAGCAATTCAACCCATGACTATAGCATTCCCCTGTAGCTACAGGCAGTGCACTGCAGGCACAGGTGCCGGTGCAGGGTGATAGAAGAGCAGTACACAGGCATGTCAGAGGAACATTGCCAACTTTCTTTAGAAAGCAGAGACATAAAACACAACGAGAGGACGTGTCTTCCTGATAGGCTATGCAGTGGCAAGGCCCCTCAGAGGGGATTCCTCCCTACACTCTGCCCTTACACTCTGAAAAGAAAGAAACTAGTTGGAAAGGCCGCAGAAACAGGAACAACGGGTGTCTGTCTAACTGGATTGTCCAGTCTCAGCAGATGGCCCTGGGGCCTGCTCCCTAGTGATGGTGAACCGCCCTGCACTGCAAAACCGAAAGCAGTTCTTCATGACATATGTCTTAGCCTTAGATGCTTCCCTCAGGGCCCCTCCATGAAAGCATGCCTGGGACTAGCAGAGCAGCTTTCATCTGGAAATTCTGCTCATTTAACTAATCTTATTAACTGCGTTTTAAACATTCTGGAAGTAGGGAAGGAAATGAGATCTTGTATAAAGTGGATGGAGAAGAGGCAAACTTAAAGGAGGGCGTCTCTCAACAGCACCTATCCTACCTCTTTCTGGCATCCCAGTTTCTCCACAATGGCACAGGGCAGCCTAACCACACTTACCTTGTTCATAACATCATCCACATAGAAATATCATGGGAGGTTCCTTTGATTTATTTTCTCCTGGAAATTTTTTTCAGGTCACCACCCAAGAGTGCAGACAGGTATATTACCAGACTTAAGACTTACCAGGAAGAATATCTGGTGTAAGGGCTTTGTAGCTCATGGAAAAACCAGTTCCATAATCCTTATTATCAGAAACAAATTTCAGCCTTATACTATTAGAGCCAATCAAAATAGGTAATGGAGTATCTCCTCCACAGAATTTCCCTGAAATATAATATTAGAGAATAATCAATGTTTAAAGTCTTTAATCACTTGAGAAAACTTGCATGTACCAATTTTAGTATTTAGCTATAAAAATTTTAGGATGAAAAGGAAATTGCCTATTCATTCCTCTACATTGCCTATTAATCCATTAGCGCGAATAGATACACACTATTAAAAATTGAAAATCCTTGACGCCAGAAAGTCGTATGCTGACACAGTTCCCTACCAGGCATTTTCCATTCTTTTCTCCTCCCACACTCCTGGTCTTTTATTTTAGACCGTATGTTACAACGTAGTCATCATGAAAATACAAGTAAAACATAATCAGCTGCAATGTCCTCATTGGGCGCACTTGCTGTTAGAATGAAAGAGTACACTGGCAGATTATTTCAAAGAATAAGGGGCCAGCAACTCACCAACAAGTCTGTCATCTTTTGAATAGATTGATAAAGAATCATAGTCACAAAACGTTTCTGGCTCTATATCAAAGTGGGAAAAACGAAGCAATATGTACTTCCCTTCTGGTACAAACAGGGTCCATACACACAATCTGGAACAAGAAATTAGTTCCCATTCACAAAACTGCAACAAAAAACCCCAACTACACTGGTACAGGGAATAGTTTATGGGGAAAGACTGTTTTGTCTACTTACTGGTGGTTTTGATAGAACTGTTTGGGACTTCCAGGAAAATGTAATTCTCCTTCACTGTCAGGGAGTTTGCCATCCTGAATGCTACAGAATGCTGTATTGTAGAGTTAAAACAAAATAAAGGAATCGGGTTTGACACAGATACAATCACCTGCTCCACCAAAAGCTCAAACGTCTAGAGAATACTGTGAGACAACATTGCTCGGCTGCACCTTGAATCTGCTAGCAGACTGATGCTGGATCTTCTCTCTTTTATTTGGAAATATGGTAAGTCAGTTTTAAAAAACATAATTTGGGAGCAAAATGAAGCACTGCCAACACAATATCATATTTTATTGTAAAAATGGCAGTGCTTGCTTTTTACCTTAAAGAAACTACCTGTTAAATGAGGATTACAGTATAAATACTTTACGGAGAGGAAAAATGCATACCTTGGGACATAAGAAAAGCATTCATTGCAGCCCATTTGTAATAATGTGCTTAGCGATATTACAGCAGGAGACTTTTGCAACAGAAAAATATAGTATCAAAGACACTTTAAGAGAAGTAGTAGAACTAGAAGCTTTCCTCTGCAGTGTCACCAGAAACACAAATACTCGCAAAAATTACCTCCTCTTGCCTTTCCTTCTCCTTGCAAGGTAAACCGGTAAGACATTTATCAACAACTACATATATGAAAACAAATTTAAGGACTCACAGAATCATAAAATCATAAAGTGGCTTGGGTTGGAAGGGACCTCAAAGATCA